CCTTATCCCCTCACAGGTGCACCTAGGATGGCCTAACTCTTTCACAATAGTAAACCAATAGAGATTGTTGTGGTATTTAGTCGAGGAGGCCAGTGCATTGATACAGATATATTGGAAGCAGACACAAATCCCCACCCTAGAACAATGGTGTGGCAGATCCTGTCCTATCCCCATGCGGTACTCCCAGATCTGTGTTCTCCTGTTCCAGAGCCTCAAAAGAAGGCTGCTGTGGCTACCTTCCAATCCCCAGCCTCTGTCTCTCATAACGTTTACTTCTCCAACAGAGATGATCTGACTCTAGGCTGTGTAATTGCCTCCAATGGAACCGTGGTCCGCAGAGAAGATCTAAAGGTCTTTGAACAGGCTCTTAAGGCCAGAGCTGCATCCCCTTCTTGCCTCCATTGCCTTCTCGAAGAATCACAACCTGCAAAATGTTCCAACACTTTCGGATCCTGATGAATCACAACCTGCAAAATGTTCCAACACTCTTGGATCCTGATGATTTGGATGCCTATACAGACCTGAATTCCCTGTCTAAGCCTGAACTGGATCCTGTAGTTGAGGCCCTGTCTGTTCACCCCCGGAGGTCGCTCCCTGCAGACAGCAATGCGTGGCCGCCCCTTTAAGAGACCTGGCTCAGGTTCTCTGCCGGGCTGTCCACCAGGGGGCTTCAGTTTCTGTTTGCATTGTTCTGCTTCCTGACCCCTTGCCTGGATTAAGCAGTTCTGACCCACCTGTAGCCCTTTTCCAATTAGGGTCAGCTGCATCCAATTTGCAGGCTGTAAAAGCCAGCCCTGCCTGAAATCTAGGATCTGGTCATTTTGCCTGTTTGGTGTTTACTGCCTGATCTTTGCTTTGCTACTGATTGATTTCCTGGACTTTGACCTCTGCCTGCTTTACCGACTATGTTACCCGTTGCCAACCCTGACTTCTGCTTCTTGTCTGACCCTGCCTTTGGATTTCCCCTTAATCTGTACTGCGCTTTTGGTTTTTGCCTCCTTCCTGTGCCATCTCCTGCAACTGGGCTCCAACTCCTGGTAAACTGTTACATAAGTCCCCAGGTGACTGGGATCATTCTACTAGGAGGCGATATCAATGCCACCCCAACCCCAGCGGCTGATAGAAGCACACGTCCTGGGATCACCAGATCCCACGGCATGGGCGGACAAGATAAACTACTACACTAATAGACACCTGGAGAGCACAATACCCTGATCACAGGGACTATATCTTTTACTCATCCCCCCACAACACATACTCACGTATGGACCTCTTCCTAACCAACCACGCAGGCTTCGCAAAAACCCTAAGAACTGAAATAGGCTCCATAGCATGGTCTGACCACACAGACATTGCTATATATTTTAACAGGCTACATACCCCCACCCCATGGACATGGAGGCTAAACACATCCCTCCTGAAAGATACAAAGGTCGTAGACGACATTTAAAACAGATTACCACCAATTTCTCAGAAAACCTGACACCAGATGTACCTATGACGACAGTATTGGCCGCCCATAAAGCCGTGATCAGAGGCTTCCTAATTAAAATAGTTACACATAAAAAGAAACTTAAAACCCCAAAACTCACCCACCTACTCGACTCCCTCCGCACTGCGGAACATCACCATAAAACTGCCCCAACTCCCCAAGCCTTGCTTCAGCTCCACGACATACGCATCTCCATCTGAGAACTTCTCCATTTGAGAACGCATCTCCGAGAACAGCCCGCTCCTTAGCATGGTTCAAGAGGACATATTACGATAAATCCAACAAAATGGACACGCTACTGGCCCGAACACTACGGCCTAGACCCCATCACCTACACATAATATAGCGGGTGGCACTGGGCTGTCCTGCAAATTTCATGTGAATAGCTGCATTTGTGTAAACTGCTGGTTTTATATGTGTTTAAAAGAAATGTATTCCTCTGATTGTTCGGTAGAATCTTTTGAATAAAGTAAGGGAATGAAACTACTGAACAATCAGACCTCCCCTGTGTGAAGTGTGTCCTCAATTACCCGTTGCAACATTGTTGCGAACGGGTAATTGACCAGTTAAGTAGCCGTCCTTTGTTCTCGGGGGTGGCCGCCATTTGACAAACGAACACGTGGCGGTGGCCATTTTAAAACTCCCGAACAGCGGTGTTTTGCCGTCGAGTGTCTGGAACTCAAATCGGACACTCGACTAGGCGAACACCGCTGAAACCTCCACAAGCCCGGTCCGTTCGGTTCCTAACTACCGAACGGCCCCTCGTTCGGTAGATAGAAAGAACCGAACGAGGGGATTCAGGCGAACCCCCTCGTTCCTCTATAGCTAGAGGTTTTCATGCCATTCATTCCCTGACTCCAGGACCGACCGCAGGGCCCATTCACATGGAACCGCATTCGGCTGTTTCACTCAGTGCGGTCGGTCATTTTATTCCCTCCATAAATTTCCTGAACCCCTGGTCTGATCTGGGTGAACAACATATCCAAAAATCACCCAGATCAGACCAGGGGATGTATGATTTAAAGGGGTACCTCTACGTTTAGGGGTACATCCGGAAACGGGGAGAAGTACTGTACTGGATAAGGGGATTATGATGCTGGCTGAGGGGAGGAAATGTGTGGGAGGTTACCAGGACAGGATTGACTACTGTATTAATGAATGTAATCCCTCCCTTGCATGGGAGTATGCTTTAAAAGGCCAGTGTGGAATAAAGCTTTCAGTTCTGCTCCTGAAACTGTGTGTCGTCCAGTTATTGGGATTGCTGTTGGGATACTGCTGTGTTATTTTGCCTGCTGGAAACCTTGCCTGTGGAATTACAATTTGCTTGTTCCTGAGCCTCACTTGGATTATAAGCGGAGATAACCTGGGGAATATTGCATCTCCGCTACATTGGTTGGCAGCGCTGGGATCCAGACTCACAGAGGAACAAGCATAAATGGAGTACGGATGGAGATTGATTTTGCTACGCTAAAATGCTCCACGCTAAAAGACCTCCTGGAGGCAAGGGGTATACAAGCCAGCAACAAGAAGAAAGCGGTACTCATTACTGAGCTTATGGCGGAGTACCAAATGGATGGCGATTCGGTTCCCGAACAGGGGGATTCGGGAGAAACACAGGAACAGATGGAGTTCCAGAGGCAGCTACAATTTCAGCTGTCTTTCTATGGGAAACACCCTCCAACAGAAATTATTTCAAAGACTATGACCGAAGTCCAGGAATTCGTATTGAGAAAACAAACAACAGCAGCCCCAGAACGCAGCTCTGCAGTAAATATGCCACAAGAAGGTAAGCCTAAAATACCATACCAGGCTTTTATAACGTATGTGGAGGCAGAGGAAGATTTAGACGCTTTCCTGCAGGATTTTGAGAGACTGTGTGCACTGCATAGAATCAGCGCAGAGGACTGGGTACCTATTTTGGCAGGAAGGTTAACTGGGAGGGCAGCAGAGGCATATTGTACTGTACCCAATGAGGAAATACGGAACTACAGCAAAGTAAAAGAAATTATACTGGCCAGGTATGCTATAACTCCGGAAGCATACCGGCGGAGATTCAGGGATTTAAAGAAGGTGGAGAAAGACTCACACGCAGAGTGGGCATGCAGATTACAAAGGGCAGCACTTGGGTGGGTGCAAGCTAGCAAGGCACGGTCCATGGAGGATGTAATACAAATGATGCTGATGGAGCAATTCTATGAGGGAGTAACCAGCGATGTCCAGGAGTGGGTAAGGGACAGAAACCCTACCTCCCTCACCAAAGCTGCCAGGAAGGCAGATGAGTACCTGGATGCACGCAGGCAGCAAAAACCTGCAGCTCCAAAAGCCACCTTTAAAACCTTTGGGGGAACCAGCTACACCCAAGCTCCACCGAGACCACTGCCACCACCACCACCGCCCGCTGCCCAACCACGTTTCCGACAGCCCACGTCTGGCCCCTGTCATCACTGCCAGAAATGGGGACATTATAAAAGGGAATGTCCCCAGCTGCGGGATCGTTCCACCTGGATCCGACCCGGCCCGCCACCACCACCAAGAGCAGCCGCAGCCCACCACTACCAGGATATAGTGGCCACACCATATGGTTCAGCCATTCCCATTACAACCGTGGAACAGTGGGAAGTACTGCACGAGGCGGATCCAGTCCAGGCCAATGCTGATAACCGACAGCATCACAGGCAGACCGTATACCTGGAGGGTAAAGCGGTCCAAGGACTACGCGACTCAGGGGCTACTATCACCCTGGTAAAGAGTCACCTGGTTTCGGATCAGGCTAAACTAAGTAACTGTGGCCGTCAGGGTAGCCGGGGGAGCAGTGTACCGGCTACCTACAGCAAGGGTACATTTGCATTGGGGAGCAGGGTCAGGACATGTGGAGGTGGGGTTGATGCTGCAGTTACCGGCGGAGGTTTTATTGGGGAACGATCTGGGGAGGCTCACGTCTGCTTTTGAGCCCCAGACACCCACCACAGGAGAAGCTCACCCTGTGGTCACTCGACAACAGGCCTGCACCCAAGACTACAACACACTCCCGGAGGTTCAGGTAAGAGACCCTTCCCCTTCCTTCCCTGGGCCCCACCCGAAGTAGTAACCGACCCTACACTGCAAGTATATAGGGACAAGGTTGTCACTGACTCACCCGGGGGGACGGAGAGAGATTTGTCTGGGACAAGCCGTTTTTGTACAGAGAGACAGACAAGCAGATTGCTGGGTCAGACCCAATAGTGATGAGGCAGCTAGTGGTGCCGCAGCGGTACCGAGCAGAGCTACTCTGGATAGCGCATGATATTCCGCTACCCGGACATCTAGGGGCCAGTCGCACTAGGTACAGACTGACCCAAAGTTTCTTCTGGCCAGGGATCAGCCAGGAGGTACGCAGGTATTGCATCACCTGCGATACCTGCCAAAGGGTAGGGAAAAGGGGAGACCGGAGGAAGGCGAAACTACACCCCCTTTCCATAATTGAGGAACCTTTTAGCCGAATAGCGGTAGATTTGATAGGCCCCCTCAAGAAAGCTAGCCCGTCAGGCAAAAGGTACATTTTAACGGTAGTAGATTATGCCACTAGATATCCAGAGGCAGTGGCTCTGACCAGCATCCACGCTGAAACGGTCGCGGATGCCCTCATGCAGATATTCTCCCGGGTTGGGATTACCCAGGGAGATTATCTCGGATCAGGGTACCCAATTTACCGCAGAATTCACCCAACACCTCTGGAGGATCTGTGGCATTAAGCCTATTATCAGTGCCCCTTACCACCCCCAGACTAATGGGCTCTGCGATTGGTTCAATGGTACATTGAAACAAATGCTCCGAACCTTCACAGAGACCCACAAGGACTGGGAGCGATTCCTGCCGCATCTCTTGTTCGCTTACCGGGAGGTGCCGCAGGAATCCACAGTCCCCGTTTGAACTGCTATTTGGGAGGAGAGTCAGAGGCCCATTAGATCTTATTAGAGAGCATTGGGAGGGAGACCGGAGCGCAGATGGCACTCCCATCATACCATATGTGTTGGCCTTCCGAGACCGCCTGGAAGCATTGACTAGGACGGTAAGGGAAAACCTTCAGGCGGCGCAGACACACCAGCGCACGTGGTATGATCGGGGAGCCAGCTTTCAGGTCGGGCAGAAAGTGCTAATTTTAAAACCTGGCCGCCTGGCAGGGACCTTATAGGGTGGTGGAACAGAGATGTGACACCACCTACATAATCGGCCCCTGCACAGGGACGGGAGGGTGACGCAT